GGGTAAGGAGGAGGAGGAGGGGGAAGAGAAGGAGAGGAGGAGGGTGGGAGAAGGAGGAGGAGGAGGAAGAGGAGGGGGAGGAAGAGGAGGAGAGGAGGAGGAGGAGGAGGAGAGGGTCAGGAGGAGGAAGAGGAGGGGGAGGAAGAGCAGGATCAGCAGCCGTGTCCCCAAAGCCGCTTTTTCCGAGCAGAGCAAATCTCCTTACGGGGCTTTAATTTGGGCTTTGCTTGTGTTCATTTTTAACCCCACTGGGGTTTATTTTTCACTCCATTTCTGCCTCATCTTGACCTCTTTGTGCTTCATTCTGAATTCTTTTATTTTATCATTTGTGCTTCATTTTTAGTTGTTTTATTTTATTATTTGTGCTTCATTTTGAATTCTTTTCTTTTATTATTTGTGCTTCATTTTTACTTTATTATTTGTGCTTCATTTTTAATTCTTTTATTTTATCATTTGTGCTTCATTTTTAATTCTTTTATTTTATTATTTGTGCTTCATTTTTACTTTATTTCTTATATTTTTGGTGCTTCATTTTGACCTTATTGGGGTTTAATTTTTCCTCTGTGCTTGATTTTTACTTTATTTGTGCTTAATTTTGACCTTATTTGGGTTTAATTTTTACTCTATCTGTGCTTAATTTTGACTTTATTTGGGTTTAATTCTGACCTTATTTGGGTTGAATTGATTTTATTTATACTTAATTTTGACCTTGTTTGGGTTTAATTTTGACCTTGTTTGGGTTTAATTTTGACCTTATTGGGGTTTAATTCTGACCTTACTCAGGTTTAATTTTGATTTTCCTAAAAATATCCTTTGGGAAAAGGGCTCTGATTCCCCCTGGAGCCAGAATTCCAGAGGGAATGCTTTTGGGATTTGTTGGGAATTCAGTTGGGGTTTGGGAATAACCAACACCCTAAAAACCTTTAAATTAAAAATTTTAAAAAATTAAATTATTTTAAAATTTTTAATTATTTTATTTTAAAATTTAAATAATTTTAAATTAAAATTTAAATAATTAAACTTAAAAAAACTGGGAATGGGAAAAGTCCTGGAGATTCCCAGATTTCCCAGGAACTCTGATTCCTCCTGGAGCCAGAATTCCAGAGGAAAGTGAGAAATTGAGGTGATATTTTTGTGGCATCACAATCCTCTTAATTCCTCCTCCCTGACAGGGATTTGGGAATAACCAACACCCTAAAAACCTTGTAGCCTTTAAAAAACCAGGAATGGGAAAAGCCCTGAAGATTCCCAGGTTTCCTGGGAGTTCTGATTCCTCCTGGAGCCAGAATTCCCAAGGGAAGTGAGAAATTGAGGTGATCCTTAAAAGGCGGCATCACAAATCCCCTTAACTCCTCCTGGCTGGGATTTGGGAATAACCAACACCCTAAAAACCTTGGAAATTTAAAAAAAAAACCTGGGAAAAGCGCTGGAGATTCCCAGATTTACCTTCAGCAGCAGGAAGGGGGTGATAACGTTGTAAGCCATGTGGAAATAATCTCCAGCGCTGGGTTTGTTCAGAGGAAACCATTCCAGAGGGAAGATGATCTGAGGAGAGAGGGAAAATGTTTGGGATCGCTTGGGAATGCTCAGCTGGACTTGATGGTGTCGGGAGGGATGGAGCTGGGTGGATTTCTGGGAGAAAAATTCCTAAAAATCGCCCTCTGGAAGTTTGTCCTCCTGGCCCTGCCAGGGGTCAAGGAAGGAATTTTTGGGATCCTGCAGCTTCCTGAACCTTCTGCCAACTTCCAGCTCAAAAATCCCATGGGAACGGAACGTTCCTGTATCCCAGAGCTTCTGGAAACCCCGAGCTCTGGGACACAGCAACGGGGAAAAGCAGGAGGAAGCTTCGGGAGCGAAAAGAAAGGTGAGGGAGGGAATTCGGGAAGGGATTTCCTGGGAAAGATCCTCTCGGTGCGTGGTGCTGGGGTCAAGGAAGGCATTTTTGGGATCCTGCAGCTTCTGCCAACTTCCAGCTCAAAAATCCCATGGGAACGTTATGGACACTCCTGGAAACCCCGAGCTCTGGGACACAGCAAGGGGGAAAAGCGGGAGGAAGCTTCTGGAGTGAAAAGAAAGGTGAGGCAGGGAATTCGGGAAGGGATTTCCCGGGAAAGCTCGGTCCCGGAGCCGGCTCCTCTGAGCCCAAAGCCCGGCTCACCATGGCGATGGGGCGCCCGAAATCCAGCACCCAGTTCTGCAGGGTGAAGTAGAACCACAGGTCCAGGTGGAACGGGGACGCCTTGGAGGTGTCCTCGGCCTTGGTCCCGCCGTGCCTGGAGGGGACAGAGGGACACGGAGCCTGGAGCGGCTCCGGCACGAGGCAGAGCTGCGATTCCCCGCCTCGGGAATCCGGGATAACCGAGGGGAAGAGCAGGGAGGACAGGAGGCTCTTCCCGGCCTCCCCAGCGAGGTGAAAAGCGCTGAATTGAGCGCGGCTGTTTTTAACTTTGGTACCGAGAGGCAGAATCCCAACTGCCAGGAGCTGAGCTGAGGAACCGCTGGAATTCCAGCCCCGGGATGCTCCGGGTGCGGCACCAGCCTCAGCCCTGCTCCCAACACCCGCTTCCAGCCCCGGGATGCTCCGGGTGCGGCACCAGCCTCAGCCCTGCTCCCAACACCCGCACCCAACACTGAGGATCCAACCCCGACGGAGCCTTTCCATGGAATGCCCCTCCAGCACCTCTGGAGCTTCACCTCCCTGCGGGATAAGCGGCTCAATCCCTCTCCCGGTGCCGGGAACGGGATCGGCTGGATCAGCCTCGAGATTCCCGGCCCATGGAAGTGTCCCTGCCCACGGACCGAGAGGATCTCTCGGGTCCCTTCCACCCCGAAGCACTCGGGGATGATTCGGGGAACGCCGAGAGCTGGAGGGTGAGGATGGGATATCCTGGATGAGCTGGGAATGCTGCGGCTCCCTGGGAGAGTCTGGCAAAGCCTGGATGGGCTGGGATAACCCAGGGAAGGCCGGGATGGCCGGGACAGAGGCGAGAGGGGGAACCTTGGGGGACCCCGACTCTGGGGATGTCCTGGACCCAAACCTGGGGATGTCCTGGAACCCAAACCTGGGGATGTCCTGGACCCAAACCTGGGGATGTCCTGGACCCCAAACCTGGGGATGTCCTGGTCCCTGGTCCTGGGGGTGTCCTGAACATCCCTGAACGTGGGGATGTCCCGGTCCCCAACCCTGAGGATGCCCCGGTCCCTGAACGTGGGGGTGCCCTGGTCCCCGACTCTCGGGATGTCCCGGTCCCCGGTGCTGGT